AAAGCATTGCTGTGCGGATCTCCTTACTTAAGCTTTTTCTTGTCATTTTGGACTTTAAACCGCCGGCAATTAAAAAACAACAATATTTTGTATATCTTTGGCGGCGGTATGTAAAAAAAAACGAACATATGAATAAATAAATAAATGAGAGAGAATACACAAAAAAAGGCGAATGACAAAAACAAAACAAAACGAAACGAGATACAAATGTAAAAAAAAAAGAAAAAAACAAAGCGGTTTTCGGTCGTGTTTTGAGCCGTGTTTGACGCGTTTTCGTAACGTTTTCGAAATTAAACAAATCTGGCGCGTTTTTTTTTCAAGTTAAATAATAACTTTAACCATTTTTAAAACCCTTCTTTTTTTAAATTAAAGCTTAAAACCAACCAATGTATTTATTGTGAAATAAACAAAACAAAAACATGTACAAAAGAAATCACAATGAACTGACAAAAACCAAATTAAATCAATTAAACTAAAGGACAACATCAATTAAATGTGCCAACAATAATTATTACCAAAAAAAAAAAAAAACATCAACAAAAAACAATTAGTCAAAGGGAAAACAAGAAAATCTATGCCTGTAAAAATATTTATAAAATATATTAAAAGCACTTATCCCAAAAAGAGAACGAGAAACTCGAGGAGAGAGTACAAAGAGTGACAAAAAAAGTAAAAACAGCGCAAATATCATTATAATTCAATGAATTAAATATAGTCCAATTTTGAGAGAAAAAAATATTACACACACACACACACGCAAGCGACGTATAAAAGTCCATCAAAATGCGCTTCACCTACAATCAGTATAAACATTATGAGTCCGGCTATCGGATTCCATCCAAAATGCATAATCTTAGCCACCATAATAATGGCAATGCTGGTGGCAACAACAATAATAATAATAACAATAATAATCATCACTATAACCACCACAACGGCAACAATGGCAATGGCAACAATAATACAAATTTACAAGCCTATCAGCATCATTACAAAAGTAATTTCGGTAAGAAAAATCAAACTACGGGGAGTTCTTTTCGAAATATATATTTATAGGAAAATCAACTATATATTTATAACTTTTGGGGTCAATTCCTAAGCTCTCTTTAATTTATATATTAAAAGGAAAAACACTTGTATACAAAATATTCTGTTAAATTTAAGGAGGTTTCTTTATATTTATAATTTAATTTTTAAGTTGTATAAATAATGTTTTGTATAAATATATTTTTATATTTATGTTTCTTTGAGTTTTTAACCATTAAAAACATTTTTTTCAAGGGAATACACCAAAAATCTTAAAATAAGATGCGTAACGAGCATACAAAATTAAATTGAAGTCTTTGCAATACCCAGTACATTTTTCTCTTTCTATTATATTTCTATGATAAATATTCCTAAAAAATCTTTTACAAAAATCTTGTAAAAAATCTTTAAAATCACACCTTTATTTTTTCCCATTTTGTACTATCCCAACATCAACTTGCAATGCTTTATAATGCCTGGGCTTATCAACAACACGCCGTAATTGCTTCGAAAACAAATCTCTCCTGCTCTGCCCGCCCTTGATAATCATACTATATATGCCATAATCGTAGTAGTACACCTGGAATTTCCTGGCCTAGCAAAGATCTAGCCAGAAATGGCGGTTGGTGCTGGTGGTTCGTTTTCCAATCTCCAATTACGCGCGAGAGGCGCCAGCAGTTATTGTCGCCGTGGATGATTCAATTCCCATTCCTTTCTCCATATCTCTCTCGGGTCTTGGGTTTGGTTTGTGCTTCTCAGGTTCTTGCTTTTCTTTAGCCAGTTGCCAAGTTTGGCCCAGAGGTGATAAGATTACGGCCAAAATGAAAACAGTACAAAAAAATAAGAACAAAATAGGGGCACAATCCTCAAACCCAAACACTTGACCAATACATAAATGCAAATACAAATTATTAACCATTGAAATGCAATGTTTTTGCTTAAGAAATAATTCTAGAATTTAATTTGTAGTTTCCGCTTTAATAATGCCTTTGCCAGAGGGGCTCATCTCTCAATACTACATACTTAATGCAGATTTGGGAGGCGGGCACAGTGGGTCAGATGGGTTCATTACACTTAATTCCTGCTCGATCTCCACTCTGTGACTGTTATTGTCTTCTCATTGTGTTTTTTTATTGACAATCTACAATCTGTTTTGGGAGGAGTCTGCGTTTAATTATAGAACCTGGCTATATACCTGCAAAAACTCGGGAGAAAAACAAACCAACCCAACATCTGTGTTTAAGTATCCAAGGGCGATTCTTTCTGAGATCTCTACCCGTGAAAATTGAATTAAAGGCTGACTTTTTGTCAGCCAATTGAGAGGGCAAAGTACATTATCTCCGGTGATAGATAAATGCAATGACAATGGTTTTATTTAATACCAGAATTCAGACTTGAGAATTTCTAGGAACTTTGGTACAAATATTTATATTTTGTTAGTATTTTATTTCTATAAAAGTATATAAGATTTTAGAGGGTCTTATAAGGATTTCTTTTAATTTTTAAATTATTTTAAATTTTCTTTTTCTTTTTTTTTTTGCATTACTATTTTTTCTTACAATGCAATGACAATGGAATTCAGAATCCAGACTTGAGATTTTCCAGGAACTTTAACGTAAACACTTTTATTTAAAAATAATAATAAAAAAATAAAATAAAAGTAGATAATATTTTTAAAGGTTTTAAAAAGATTTTTATTATTTTTTTTTTAATTTTTTCTTTAATTGTTTCTTAAACAAACTATTTTTTTCGAATTAGTTAAAATCCATATTAAGGTCTTACTTGATTTTAAAAAGTATCTTTGTATCTCGTGTATCGTTTATCTGACGGTGTTGCTGTATCTTTAATCGGTAAACCATATCTCTAGATATACATACATATATCTGGGGAATGAAACAGCACTTTATCCCCTTGGAAACAATAGCTGACGGTATCCCCATCTCCCTCTGGGTCCGATCTTATCTCTGTAGCGTTCCCAGGTAAGGCCCATTTTCCGGCTTCCTCCTCCGCCTCCTCAGGTAGGCGCGTTCCGCAAGCCCAACAATAAATATATATTTGTTGTTTGCTCGATTCCCGCCCAAGGTTAGTTAGGCCAAAAGGGTGCGTTTTTTTTTTTTTTTGGCATCATAAAAGCCAAGAGGCGAGAACAGATTTTCTCACCTTCCTAATATTATGTATGTAGATATATAGATATATATTTTTATATATTTATATGCGTGTTTTTGGGGGCGCAACGCACGTCACCGAGGGATCCTCGTAATTGGAGATCAAAGTTTGTTTGTTTGCTTTCGTTTGCCTGCTGTGCTATCAAAGGCGCTTTTTGTTTGCCCGTCGAGACTCTTATCTCGTAAATTAGCTCGTAATTGTTTAACGGTTTTACCGGAATTAGGGAATATGTGAGAGATTTCCCTAGAATTAAATTGGAGATTTCATTTTTATTTTTTGGGTAGGAAAAAAGGTGTTAAAATCAACTAGGCAAACACAATTATGAGGGGAGGGTATTACTTGTAATTATATATCTTTATCTTTATTATTTATTTATTGTGCCTGCCAGCATATGTCTTTTGATTTAAGTTTACATTCTTTAGAAATTTGTTAAGTGTTTGTATATAGATACTAGAGGATTTACAGGGTTTCTTAATTCCATTTTTTAAATATTTTTAATAATTATAAAGCTTTTGTTGAAAATCCCCTTCAATGGAGTTGTCCCTTTGGTGGCCTATCCCAACAGACATTTTAGTTGGACTTTAAAGGGTGATTAAGAAGAATATTTCGAGGGAAATTTAGAAGGACTTTTAAAAAGGAGATTTTTAAGGAAATAAATTAGGACATTTCTAAGGAAAATTTAGAAGGAAATGTAGGAAATTTTGAAAGACGATTAAGAAAGAAATTTAGAAATAGATTTAGAAAGAAAATTTAAAGGGAAATGTATAAGGAAATTTAAAAGGACTTTTTAAAAAAGGTAAGGATGATAATTCTTAATTTTTAAGGGACATTTAGAAGATAATGTAGAAGAAAATTTGAAAGATGATTAAGAAAGAATTTTAGAAATACATTTTGAAATAGATTTAGAAGGAAATTTAAAGGGAAATTTAAAAGGACTTTTTAATAATAGATTATGAAGAAGATTTACCAGAAAAATTGCTCGTGCATTGCAATTTAATTAAATAAAAAAAATATACAAATACGATTGGTAATGCAGGGACTAATAAAGGAAATAATAATAATAATATTGCTGGGTGGGAGATGAGGAGAAGAAGGAGGAGTAGCCATCGGAGCTTGCTAATGGGTTGGGTGGTGTTGGGTTCGTTTGGTTTTGGTTGGGTTTGTCTGGCTTCCTTATCAGCGGACTCCGGCCCATTGTTGTGTTCCAGCCCATGATAATATACATACATATACATATATATATGTTTGTAAATACAGATGCTCACATATGGACAAGTATGTGTAATGTCCATGTCGGGCAAAAAAATAAAGCTGAAATCTGCGATGACAACTGCAACTGTAACTGCTGTTGCAGTTGCGCCTCTGAATTGAAATTGAAATGGAAATGCAAATGAAAATTGAGCATCAATTGGGATCAACAATGGGAATGCAACAATAGTCGAGAGTGTGAGGCCTGATTCTATGCTCGCTCTCAACTAATATATATATATATATATATATATATCTCATCCCCGGAGGAGAGAAGTTCAATGCACCCAAAAGTCAGTTTGCCTCGGCTTTATCAGCTCAGTTTTCCTGGCATATAACTTAACTTTGCGAACGAGACCATATTTTTTCTCCGTTCTCGGTTCCAACTCTCTATCTTGGATGGGTTTTTGCTTTTGTGTTTCTATGAACCAAGTTTTTATACTATATACAAGAAGCTTTATGATTGGATTTTCCCTATTAAATATTATTAATTATTATTATTTTTTCTAAAAATGTAATAAACTAAAATTTAATCATAATTATATTTATTTTCCTTTTAGGAATGAGAATGACCATGTCCACGAATTCCACAATGAGTGCGCGAATACATCGAAAGGGTTTTCGCATACCATCGAAAAGACAGCCGGGTAAGGGATTGCCCGGCAAGCTGCATACTATAACCAGGGTGAGTTTCGAAGTACATATAATATATATTTATATATATATATATATTTTTTTTTTTTATGTAGAAAAGTATATATTATTCCCTTATTTATAATTTCAAATAAAAAGACCCTTAAACCTTAGAAAAATCATTCTAAATGTAAAAAAAAAATGCACCTTTAATTTTAGAAATGTGTTTCCCATATTTAGTATAAATTAGACATATACGCCGCCGCGCCACGCCGCCGCCGCCGCCGATTTTTGCCTTATTTGACGCGCCGCCGCCAAATTATGAAAATAACGGCGCGCCGCGGCGCGCCGCTGGTGCGGCATCGGCGCAGCTTCAGCGCGGCCTTCAGTGTCATTGTTCTTTATAAAACTTTAAAAAAAATAAATAACTCATTAAAATGGCCTTTTTGCCTTATTTGACGCGCCGCCGCCGCCGGTTCTTTCTGACTACTACGCCGCCGCCGCCGAGTCATTTTGACCTCTACGCCGCCGCCGATGCCTTTAACCATCGGCGTAAACCTCTAGTATAAATTGCCCTTTTAAAAAGAATACTTTTCTTTAATTTTCAATTTCCCCAGATTTAAAACCGATTTTTTCTAGATTTTAGGGCTAATTTTTCATTTTGTTCCCTTTGTAATTATTCATCTATACTACAAATGGAATAGGGTCTTTTTTAAAATAATTTTTAATGATGTTATGTTAATAATAAAAACCAATCCCCTTCCTAAAATCTTAATATTAGTCTTTAAATTCTTTAAATTTTAAATAATCACAGGCGGGTCCCGGCAAAATGGTACCTGGAAAGCGAATACCACAGCGACCCCATCCGCCGCCCTGCGACAACTCCAACGACAGTGGCCTTGGCTTTGATCAGCACACAGAGCTGAGATCCTCGGCGGGCGGTGATTCTGGCCAGCGTTCGTCTGGACTTTTGGTCAATAGTGCACTAACCAACAGTGTTGCAGCAGCGGCCGCGGCAGCAGCAGCAGCAGTGGCCAGCAATACGTTACAGCAGCATCAGCAACACCATCAACATCAGCAGCAGCAGGCGCAACAGCAGCAGCAGCAGCAACAGCAACAACAACAGCAGCAGCAACATTCACCACAGCAGCATTTAATACGCGCGATACCTGTATCAAGGTGAGTCCATCTTTCCATCGATCAAAAGTCAAGTCCCCCTTTCGGTGTTTTTTTTTTTTAATCTTTAGACGAGTTTATGCGCAGCCGCAACTCGAGATATGTGAGCCAGTTCATGATCAGTGCTAGTTCATGATTTCATTTCGTTTTACGTTTTTTTTAATTCATGGTTTCGAGTGATATTGATGAACATTGTACTACTGCCTCTATTCACTCACACGCATGCAAAAACACAACACAACTAATGCACAGATTTATATAAATATGAATATATACATATATATATATATATATATATAGAAAATGTTTAAAGATATTTGAAAGTATTTTTTAAAGTTAGTTTTTCGCATTATTTGTAATTATTTTGGATAGATTTTAGGGATTTTTCTCAATTTATTTATTATTAGTTTTTGTCCGCTTGTCCGTTAAGGAGAGTTTATGCTTTAAACTTATCTTTACTTTAAATATCGTTTTCATTTATAGTAAAATAATAAATATTACGAAATTCTAAGGATATTTAATAATCAATAATTTAAATAAATTATATTTATTCAATTATTTATTAACTGTCCGCTTGTCCGTTATGGGGAGTTTATGCTTTAAATCCAACTTTACTTTAAATATAATTTTCTTTTTCTAGTAAAATAAGACATTTTCAAGAATTTCAAGGATATTTATATTATTTTTATTTATTTATTTAATTTTTATAAAAAAAATTAATTTAAAATGTAATTTATTAAGCATTAAAATAGGTTGTCCGTTTTGAGAAAAAATCTCAAAAAATCCCACATGTTTCTCTTGAATAAATTTCAAGAATTGTAAAGTTTTTCTCATAACACACGAAATATGTTTCGTTTTTGTTTACATTTAGAATAGGGCGTATTCTCTTTGAGTAATCAACATATCATATTAATTGTTTACACGTTTGCCAAGCTTAACTTGGTATTTAAACGGAACGCATTTGCTCTGAACAGTATGCGTCTCAAATGGCAATACGAAAAAAAGAAAGAAACATTTCTCGGATATCAACAAAAACCAATGATAGCTCCAAATTCCCCACGAGACAAAAAATCCCTCAGTACAGTCCGGCCCCCGGCTTTGACCAGAACAAAAGTGCTCGTACTTGCCTTATTTTCTTTACACAAAAATGTGGAATTGTGGATATTATAGAAAGTGAGAAATCGAAACTAGAAAACTAGAAACTTGATTAAGTTTACTATTCCAGAATATACTAATTTTGTGATTTAAAAGATAGTGAAATGGGAATTAAATTTATGAGAATTAAATTTAAGCTTCTTATTTGTTTTGATTTTAAATATTTAAGAAAGTTTAAATTTGAATTTTATTAATTAACTATTAGTAGAAATTCATGAAATTTTTGTAGGTCGAATTTTTCAATTTTATATTTAATTTAGAAAGAAATATTTTGATTTCAAATATTTTAAAAATTTTAAAAAAGATTAATCCTTTTTTTTGTTTTGATATTTTTTAGAAAAAGTTTAATTTTCAAAGTAAATTTAATTAATTAAATATTAAAACAAATGCCTTTAACAATTTTTTTTAGGTAGAATTCTTTATTTCTATAATTTATGTAGAAATAAATTCTTTAAGTCTCCACTGATTGATGGCCACTTATTACCCACTCTCTCTTATATCAATCATATAAATCAATCAAAAATCCTCAGCATCAGTCACTGAAAATAGTTATGCTTGAGCAACTGCCAGTTTGGGGTTTATATATATTATTTTTATATTTAAATACATTTTTTTTAAGACTGGTTTTCCTTTGTAGGTCATGGTGAATGTGTTTTCCTATTTCAAATAGATTTCATATGGATTAAGATTTTTGTTTTCAATTTCAATTTCAGTTTCAATTGATACATGTTCATATAGTTGCTATTGTTGTTTTACTTGATTTTGCTTTTGTTGTTTTTGTTGTTGTCCCAGCTATGTATATAAATATGTCCTAGTCATAGCTATTTTGTAATTGCATGCCCAGGTCCGTACTATCTGTGTAAATATCTGCATTATCTTATCTCAAGCCATCAGCTTTAACCTACCCTTTTGCAAAATTGTGCAAGGAGGAGCAGGAAAGTGCTGGCTTGCCTTTTGGGGTTGCCCCCTTATCTCTCAAATCGAAAAATAATAATAATACAACAATAAACAAGTAGAAAACAAAAACAACAACAACAACTCAAAGAGTTTGTTGTGATTTTTATGGGGTTTATTTAGGGCTTTCGTTAATTGCTTGTTTGGTTTTAGCTGTTTTAGTGGCCACTGCAATTGTATTTTTTATACCCTTTTACAGGGTATTATAATTTCAGTCAGAAGCTAGTAATGCAGTGAAGGAATCATTTGCGACCCAATAAAGTATATATATTCTTGATCAGCATCAACAGGCGAGTCAATCTGGCCTTGTTGGGAAGAAAAAAAAATGTCGAAATATTTTCAAAAATTTGATAAGGGGTTAGTTACATCGTTAAAATTGGAAAAAATTTTAATTTTTCAAAAAATTAAATTTAGTATGCAGATTTGTTAGCCTAGAAAAAACTAGCATAGAAAAGCTTTCCGAATTAAATTCAATGCTTTTTTGGCTTAGTTATGATATTTTTAAGTTTTAATTTTCTTAAAAATTATTGTTTCAAAATATAAATAAATAAATATACATTCAAAATATATCATATTTAAAATTGGCAATTTTCTTGAAGGGTATTATGACTTTATTTAGTGAATTAGTCATTACTGACCCTAGAAATCATTTCATATGCTTTATCAGCATCAACAGGCGAGTTAATCTGGCCATGTAGGAAAGAAAATAAATATTCAAAATTTCTTAGCGTAGAAAAAATGTAATTTAATGCTTATTTGGCTTATTTATGATATTTTAAAATTTTAATTTTCTTAAGAATTAACATATAAAATTATACAAACTGCAAGGGTATACAAAGTTCGGCTTCCTTTTTTTTTTTAGCTTTTATTAAGCATTTATCTATTGATTGTTAAGTGATTTTTTGTTTAATAAAAGAGTTAAGCTACCTTTAAGGCCATAGAACCCTAAAAAAGCCTAAAGATTAGGTAGGACAGATGGCTAATATCATCTGTAGGTTCGTTCATCTTGCTGATTATTTGCACTTTTTTTTTTTTTTGGCGGCTGATTTAATTTGCATTCATTTTGGCCAGTCTCTCCATGAAAACACACATACTATATATATTATACATATGTATATTTTTCCCTCACTCGCCTTAGCTGGGCAATGACTTTTGAATTGTTTTCTTTCTTTTTTTCGTTGCGATTACTTATACGCACTGTTGACGCCGTGAGTTTGCTTTACTCTGCTCTGCTGATTAGCAATCCACCGCCGGCGGCTGCATTCTCGCAGTGGTTCCGTTTTTTTCAGATTTTACGATTTGGTTTAGGATCGAATAGTCGCTGTATGGATCGCTTACGTATACGGATTATGTGGCATTACACTATAACTAGCCCTCCGCTGACTTTATCAGTTGTATTAGCTAATATAAGATGAACTAGCTTTCAGTAACTAAGCTTTGTTTTACTTGAGAAAAATGTTTATTTAGGGATTTAAAAAAATTTTTTTTTCATTATAATGAAATGCTAAGATCGTTTGTTTTTAATTAAAAGTAAATTTTAAACTGTTCAGGTCAGGAGCTTATGTTCCCCCTCCGGCGACTCCGAAGCGCTCCCGCTTCTTCAAAGCTCCTTAGCTCGCGCTCTCGCGCTTAGTTTGCGCTCCCGCTCTTCTAGCGGATGCTTCGGCTCTGGCATCGCTGAGCGGCCGCTCCCGCTCTCCTAGTTATGATCTCCCGCTCCCACTTGTAATTTAATTCCTATATTGAACTCCAATAAAGCGGTCCATTCGTTAACATTGAAAATAACCACGCCCCCCCCGGCCTACTACTTTCTTGCGGTATTCATTTTGGTGGTGACTTTTCGCTATTTCTTTGGTGTTTTACGACTGCGACGCGGGAGTGTTTTCTAATAAGAATTTTTTGACTACAAGTTTCCCCCCAGCCGAACAAAACAAATAAAATACTATCAAAATCATTCATAAAATATTATAAAATATAGTTTTCATTTTTAAATGGTATTTTTTAATATTTAAACATAACTTTATATATTTAAATCTTTTTTTTTCTATTATTTTAATATTTAACAAGAAAGGAAGCTAACTTCGGCACGCCGAAGTTTGTATACCCTTGCAGATTGGTTTTCATATTTATATCATAAATTATAATGCCGAAAACAGACACTAAACAGAGTTTGATAACATTTTACCTATACCTATTATGTTTACAGTTTGACAGTTACAGTTTTACATTCCCAGCTTTATATATTTTATACATTTACCGATCGCTTCTATGGCAGCTATAAGATATAGTTGTCCGATTTTTATGAAATTTATACCAAAATTCTATAATAATAAGTGAAGCTCATATCTCAGAGTAGATGAAAATACGTTGAAAACAACGAAGTTATAATTTTTTCTATTACTTTCCCTATCTTTCCTATGGCAGCTATAAGATATAGTCATCCGACTTTCATGAAATTTATACCAAAATTCTGAAATAATACCAGAAGCTTATGTACCAAAGTAGATTAAAATACGTTGAAAAACAACGAAGTTATAATATTTTTCGATTAATTTCCCGATCGTTCCTATGGCAGCTATAAGATATAGTGGTCCGATTTTCATAAAATTTTTACCAAAATTCTGGAATAATAAAAAAAGGCTATATCCCAAAAATGATGCAATAATATTGAAAAACGGCCAAGTTATAATTTTTTTTCTAAAAATTTTTCGAACATTTGTATGGCAGCTATATGATATAGTCGTCCGATCCGGCCCGTTCCGACATATATAGCAGTGAGAGTATATAGAAGACTATATGCAAAGTTTCATTCAGATAGCTTTAAAACTGAGGGACTAGTTTGCGTAGAAACGGACAGACGGACAGACGGACAGACGGACGGACAGACGGACAGACGGACAGACGGACATGGCTAGATCAACTCGGCTGTTGATGCTGATCAAGAATATATATACTTTATAGGGTCGGAAACGTCTCCTTCACTGCGTTGCAAACTTCTGACTGAAATTATAATACCCTGCAAGGGTATAAAAATACCTACTTTTGGTATATCATTATTTCTTATAATTATTGGTTTCTTCAGGTCGTAGCAACCAACCTTCAACCGTCTTTTCTATCATGATATTCTCTTGTCTCTTAAATATATAAGACAGACAGATCTCGATTGAATGCACAGGCCGTTAGTTTCGCTCAGATCGGTTCAGTTATATGCAGTTTAGTTCCAGTTCCCTTGAGTTCTGTCGGGATTTGACTTCGTTGACTTCATTTAAAATGCAATCGGACATTGATTGTTGGGGCTTTGATTTCTATTGATTTCTATTTATTTTACAAGCCTCTTAGAAATGCTGCTGATTTTATGTATTTCTCTATATACTATATAGTACTATATATTTTATCTTTTTATCAGGGAATTGCAATTCTAAAATTAATCGAATTTTGTAAAAATTTGTAGCAATCGATTAATTATACTTGGTTATTTTGCTTTTAACATTTTAAATATAAGAAACTAAATATTTAAAAATATTTAAAAATATTTAAAATATCAACAAAACGAAACTCAAAAATTCGTACGATATTTGATACACAATTCGATATCCTAAAATCGATTAAATCGCTAGGACTTCTTTGAAATATTATTATAAGTAATAGACAGGCGGTGGCAATATATCGTATTGTTAAATTATTTTCTAAATTAAATGTTCAATCAATAATTTGTTTCAATAATTAAAACATTAACTGATTGATCGATAGGATTCGATTTAAATATGATTACAAATCGATTAAAATATTACTTAACGCTGTCAGCGTGTGCTGCTGTACATAAATGTCATATATATATATATATGTGTGTGTGTATATGTTAACGTATAGATCGCGGCACGCCAGGAATATGATGAGTCAGTATCTGGAGGATCTCGATCTGGTTTCGGCCTCCTCATCGGAGGACTCTTCAGCAACCACCTCGCCACCGGTCAGTATCAGTTTGGACGAGGACACGGGCTTTGTCAACGACAACAATTCGACGGCCGGCACATTATCCATGGGCAGTAATTCCACCTCTACGTCCGGTTCCACCTCCAGTTCCAGTTCCACTTCGGATCCTTTTGGCGGTGTTTTTCAGGCCACCGAAGCGGCGGTGGCAGCGGCAGTAAATGCCTTTACCCAGCAGCATCACCAGGTGCAGCAGCAGCAGCAACATCATCAGGTGCACCAACCACAGCAGCAACAGCAACAGTTCCATTATCCCGGATTGCTGCACCATCACCAACAGTCGCAGCAGCAGCAACATCACCATCGCCATGGCAAGCACATCATCAAACGCAAGAAGCTCGAGTGCAACCAGGTGGAATTGGACAATGATGATGCCTGCAGCGAGGACGAGTTCATTCGCAAGATAGCCAGCTCGGTGGCAGCGGCCACTGTTGAGCCACCCTCATCAGCTCCAGCTGCAGTGGCTGCACAAGCTCCAGTCCTGCCAGAAGTGGCCACCACCCCATCCTCAGCTCCATCTATGGGCAAGCACCTGCCGCGCAACACCAACAATGAGACAAAGTAAGCAGGATGGCTTTCAGCAAAAATGAAACAGAAAAAAATCTAAAAAAAAAAGGGAACTTTAAAACAAAATTTAAAAAAATTCTTTGGTAGAATTTCTTGAGGAAAAATATAAAAAAATATAGGTTAAACCCATAGAAAAATAATTTTAAAATTAAAAAAAAAATAATTTTAATAAAAGATAAAGGATAATGAGCTTTAGAGAAAGAGAAGGTCCTGACTAGACATGATTTTCTTATAAAAGAAATATTCAAAAATCCCTCAGCAGAAAAATCTCGAAATAAAAAGGATTTAAAATGAATTTGGAAACAAGGAAATTAAGATGAAAAATTATTTATAAAACATATGTTTATATTATGGAAACAAGGAACTTTTGATTAAAAATTATATTATATTTTTTACCCTGCAAAATTCGATTGAAAACAGAAACCTCTAGAGTTTTAAAATGCCTATAAAAGTGTCATAAATTCTATAAAAAAATGAACTTTAATTAACTTCAATTTTTTACAGTAAAAATTTTATTTAGACAACTTTTTAAGTGTTTTAAAATTCATCCTAGTAACTTCTAAAGCAACCTAAAAAAAGTTTAAAAATCTGACAAAGTCAAGATAATATTTTCAAAATTTTATATAAAATATACAAGTTAAAAAAGAGGAAAAAATATTTTTGAAATAATTAAAAAAGAACAAAAATCAAAGAAAAAAAGAAGCAAATTTCAAAAATCAACAAAAACCTTCCAGATTTAATTTTATTTAAAAAATCAAAGAATTTGTTATTTTATTAGTATTCTTTTTTGATTATTGCTCAATATGTGTGTGTTTTGTTGTTCTTGTCATTCTATTCCGTATTTACAACAGATATATACATATATATATCTCTCAAAAAAAAAAATTTAAATAAATTCTAAAACGTTTTTAATATTTTTATATAAAATTTCTGTTGGCTTTTATAAATTGATGTACATTTGTTGTTCCATATGTGTGTGCGGCGTGTGATTGTGTAATTAACAAAAGCAAAAACAATCCATTTCATTCAAAATTCACAAACATTTTTCTTTAGACTCATTTGTATCTGTGTCTGTAGCTTTGTATCTTTGTATCTACTGGAAAGAAGCAATGAATTTGTATCTTTGCATCGCAGCTAAAAAACACCATAAATTAGACCATAAATCATTTAACCCACAAAAAGGAATCACCAAAGTCTTATATACATCGCTTCCATTGGCCAAAGTTCAAGTACAAGGCATTCCTTAAATTTTTTTGTTTAATTTTTTTTTTAACGATCCTTAGACAAATAAACCAAACCCCCGAAGTCGAAAAAGTTCCATTCTCCACCAGAATCTGACCCCATATTTCTTTCTTTCCACTTTCTTTCTCTCTCTCTTTTTCTATCCCTCTCTGGTGACGCGCCTTATCCTCCGCGAATCCTTTAGATTCATTTCGGCGAGAACTGTCACCCGAGTGGCCAACAAGCGGCAACCTATTACGCCCTTGAACAGCATCGCCAGCTCCAATGATGGCCAGGTGCAGCTGGAGATTGTCTCACAGCCGGAGCAACAGCATCGGGCGCGGTATCAAACGGAGGGTAGCCGTGGTGCTGTCAAGGATCGCAGTGGCAATGGTTTCCCCATTGTCCGGCTGACCGGCTATGACAAGAATGCCGTCCTTCAAGTGTTCATTGGCACGGACATTGGCCGTGTGGCGCCGCACATGTTCTATCAGGCGTGCAAGGTGGCCGGCAAGAATTCGACGCAGTGCAACGAGAAGAAGGTGGATGGAACCATGGTCATCGAGATTGATTTCAAGCCGGAAACGGAAATGACCATTACCTGTGATTGCGTTGGCATACTAAAGGTGGGGGAAAAAAATATTTAAAAAAAAATATAAATAATAATAATTTACCATTATTTCCTTTTCTGCAGGAACGCAATGTCGATGTGGAGCACCGTTTCCCGGAGCATCTGGCGCAGAAGAACAAAAAGAAGTCAACACGCTGCCGTATGGTATTCCGCACTCAACTAACCCGCGACGATGGCACCACCGAGACCCTTCAGGTCTGCTCGAATCCCATCATCTGCAGTGAGTATTTAATTTAATTTAAATTAATTAGAAGAATTATACAAAATATAAAAATTAAATTAATTATCAAAGAAAATAATAATTTAATTAATTATCAAATAAAAAAAAATAATTTAATTAATTATAATTTATTAATTTAAATTATTATATTAATTAATTATAATTATAATTTGTATAATTTTTATTTTAGTCTTTATAATTAATTATAATAATTAATTATTTAATAATTAATATTTCATAAGTAATTAATCATTAATTATTTATTTATAATAATTATAATTATAATTTTAATATTTTTAATTAATTCCTTAAAAAACTAATTAATATTTCATTATTAATTAATTTTTAAAAATTTTAATTATTATATATAATTAATTTATATATATATAATAATTATAATTACAATATTTATAATTAATTCCTCAAATAACTAATTATTAATTAATTATAATAATTAATAAATTGTTAATAATATTTATAATTATAATTATAATCCTTATAATTAACTCCCTAATTAACTAATAAAATATTTGTAATTATTAGCTCAACCCCCTGGCGTTCCAGAGATTTGCAAAAAGTCACTTAACTCATGTCCTGTGGATGGCGGCCTTGAGCTGTTCATCATTGGCAAGAACTTTTTAAAGGACACTCATGTGGTGTTCCAGGAGACCTATGACAGTGTTAATGGCGACGATCCGGCCACTGAAATTGCTGTGCGTCAGCAATTAATTGGCGGTACCGCCGCCCTCTGGGAGCAGAGTGTCCTGCCGGACAAGGAGTATCTCCATCAGGTTAGTTTTGTTGGGAGAAAGAGTATTATTTTATTTGTATTATTTATTTATTATTATTTTTTAATTATTTATTTTTATTATTTGCTTTTATTATTAATTTTTTTATGTTATCTATTTTTTTACTTTAAATTTAAATATTTCTTTTTTAAATTTTTATTTTTTATTTTGTTTTTTAAATTATTTTATTTATATAAATTATTATTATTTAATTTTCTTATTAGCAATATTATTATCCTTACTCCTTTTTGCAGACCCATTTGATTTGCACTGTGCCACCGTATCTGCATCAGAACCTAATGAAGCCCGTCCAGGTTCAGGTCTCGATCGTATCCAGCGGCAAGAAGAGCGAGCCGCACACGTTCACCTACACGCCCAAGGGACAGTACACGACGCTGGCGGCTGCCAGCACGTTAAGTAACACAATCCACGCCCAAGGTATCTATTTGTTGACTAAGTGTTGTCCGTTAACCAAACCCAAAACCGAAATCGAAACCGAAAGATATATATCGGAGATCGCGTATCTATCGATTATCGATTAGCTCCCTTGTATAGATATATATCGAAAGAACACAGTTAGTAAGCTTTGTAGGTGAGGTAGTCTAGTCAGTTTTTAGGCAGTCCTTAGATGTACTTAATGAAATCTATAGTGGCTAACCGAATACTTAAGTTGCTCATTTTTTATTTATTATTTTTCCAAAAAAAATGCCATTTATCCAACAAACGATGTGGTGTTGATTATTTTTATTATTATTTTTTTGTTGTTTGTGTGTAGGTCCAACAAACATTTATTTTTTATGGTTAGAAAATATATAAAACTAAATCAGATAGTTTCATGCGTTATTCTAACCTTTCCTTCCTTCCTTCTATCTTTTTGATTTTATTTTATTATTATTTAAACTTTTTACCTCGCTCTCCCTGCTCTTTGGTTAGCATTTTAACATTTGTTATATTATAAATATATATTTAACAATTAGCAAGTTGGCTTTTTTTTTATTTGGGTTCTATCTGAACAAAGAAAGGTGAATGAAATTGTTTTGCTAAAATGTTTTTAACCTTTACAAAAAAAATCAAGAAAAATTAATTACAGAACATAAAATCAGCAGTTCTCTTGTTTATTTTTTTTTTAATTTTATTTAATATTTTTTATAATTATTTTAAGATGTAACATAAAGCTAAAGTGAATTTCCCCCATTTCTTTTGCCTGATAAAAAATAACCAAAGGTCGAGTTCATTTCATTATTATTGTCATACGGAATTTCATTACTAAATGTATGAACTTTCATATATATATATGTATGTATATATGCTATATCTCTTGCCTGCCTCCTTTTCCCTTCATACTTTCTACTTACTTACTCTCTCCTCTCTTTTTCTCTGTATGAATAACGCATGAAACCAAAATCGATATCCATAAAAATATAATAATAAAGCATTAAATATTTTTAAGTAGGAAACCGCAACAAAAAAAACCAATCACTCAAAAAAAAATATATAACATTAAAAACATAACTTAATTTATAAGCAAAAAAAAAAAAAAGAAAACAATTAAGGAAATGATAAAATACAAAAAAAGCCTTAAATTAATATTAAAATAACTATTAAATAACTGATATATAAGGCACACACGACAATGATCGTACGAATCTTTGGAGAAATAATTCCTCCAATCTTCCCCTACCCCAATATCTCACTCTCTCTCTCTCTCTCCACGCTCGCTCGCGCTCTCTGGCGGGAGCGGAACCGGAAACTGATCGAAACAACTCTGCTGCATGAATGAACTTGTACTTTGATACATATTTTTGATATGTGATCCACATTGGATGCGATTCCAAGGATTCGTAATATATATCCTATTATCTGTTTAGAATTTATATATCTCTCTCTCTTTGGGTCGATAATTATTTGACGTAGTTTTTCGCCTTTTCCGGCTACACTTTTCTTCTGGCTTAATTTATTTGTGTGTGTGTGTGTTTGTGGGTGTGCCTGAGTGTATGTTTGCTGTGTGTATGCGTGTGCTTGTGTGTTTGCCTGAGTGTGTGCCTGTGATGTGTGTGTGTGTGTGTGTGGGTGGACTTTGAATGAAATGCAGAGTTTTCTTGATCAAGTTTGTCCTACCAAAAAAAAAAAAAGAAAAAAATTCTTACCCAAAAGGAAAACTCAAGCAAAAGCGAGATAAAAACCAACACAAGATGAAAAATCAGCAGCAGCAACAGCAGAAATCAGGAGGATTCAAGAAGAAGAAAGAACCACAAAAAGGCAGATATTCCCTCACAAAATCAAGTTAAAGATCAGGATATCTTTAAAACAAAAAAAAAAAACTCTTTCCCTTCACCAAACCTTAAAAAAAAACAAAAAAAATTCCGAAAAAAAATATGCATATATATATTTTTACTTTATATTCTTCCTCCTCCCCTTTTTCTTAGCAATTTAGGTGCTCAAACTAACTATATATAGTCAAATATGTAACCAATTTTGAGTGCCATAAAATGCAAGGCCAAAATTACAATCCAAATTAAGTCCATATAACAAGTATATAGACACCGACATATCCTGTATCTCTCTCTCTATATATACATATATGTACATATATACTATATATGTATATATATATTATAATAAATATAGCAAAGAGGCAAACGAAATGAAAGGCCGCTAAAAATGACAGCTTGCCGGGAAAGCAACACGCCGGAACTGTGAAATCGATGAGAGATCGAAAGAACTATCGTGCAAGAATCGCATTAATCGAAACGATCGATAAGTGACTGCGATAGACCACAACTCATACAACCACATACACGTCACGTCACACAGACACGAAATATACAGAAAACGAAGTATACAAAAAGTGATACCCTTTAAAATGGAACCATGGCAGCTATTGATATCCGACGAGGAGACCCGACCCCCATGGAATAGATGACCTGACCGGCGACGGACTCGAGTCTTCCTCATCAGCATCTCAACATCTACTCTGCTCATCTCTAGCCATCATCTCTACGTTCAGCATCAAGGATACGTTTTAGGGTACTGGTTAAAAAAAAAAAAAAAAAATACAAAAAAAAAAAAAACAACCCACAATTTTTTTTAGAAAAAAGAAATTACCTGAAAATTAATATTACCAATTGACCAAACGTATAAATTCTTTTTTGCCATTTCGTACTCAATATTTCTCTATATATGTCTTTAAATTAATACCCTACACACACCACACACACACACACACAATTACCATTACTATTAACTCTTAAGGGAAACCCATTACACATCCATATAACTTTTAGAGCATTACCTTTAAGCATCCTCTATATATTTACGGGTTTTATTTGCATAGTCACATAAAGCTAACCCCATCTTTTAGGCATCTTTCGGGAGATTCTATAGTGTCTATAGTAGTCCTAAATATCCTTTGGATATTGATTGGAAAATCATTCAAATGCCTTCCAGGCTCTATAGTTCGTATCATTCATTGTTATCTAATACTAATTTATGTGAAATCAGTCACAAGTCCTAATGACATTCTTTTATAGATATTTCATAAAATAATAATACCCACATAATATATAAATACAATTTCAAATTCAATTTCTGTTTTCCCTCAAATACTAATCCCTTCAGAATCATGTACAGAATTTTCAGTTCAATAATGGAGACCAAAGATCCAGTAACTATAGCTTAGACAGTGAAAAAAATAACTATCCAAAAGCCCAGGAAAGACAAGACACATACATAAGCGGGAACTTGTTCTGAAAGACCCAATACAAAATAAGAGGTGGTAGTGATGGGACTCGTCTAGAACGAGTGGAATTTAAAGCATCGCTCGACTTCAGAGCCTCAACATTACGCCTAGAGAACGACAACAATTTTAGATCAATGCGACCCCGCTTAGGAGTTGTAGGAGAATTGAATTTTTGTGTATTTCCGGCTCCTGATAGTACCAACCTACTACTAATCCATAAATTCTTGGTATATATAAACATATAAATATAAAACAGTAGCTATTAAGTTCAACAACTAGAAGTAATTATATAAGCCAATAGTCTTAAGAATGAATAGCTTGGAGTATGATTGAATTATGAATGAATAATGATGTTTGAATTTAATGAGTGAATATTGATTCTGTGATTTTTTAATAGTTTATGAAAGAATTAGTTGAATTATTGAGTTGTTGTGGGTGAATGATTTATGAATAATTGTTGAATTTTAAAAGCATCGTTGGTGAATGATTATTGGATTTTAAGAGCGTTGTTGGTGAATCGTAGCTGAATTTTAAGAGCGTTGTTGGTGAATGATTGTTGAATTTTAAGAGCGTTATTGGTGAATGATTGTTGAATTTTAAAAGCGTTATTGGTGAATGATTGTTGAATTTTAAGAGCGTTGTTGGTGAATTATAGCTGAACTTTAAGAGCGTTGTTGGTGAATGATTGTTGAATTTTAAGAGCATTGTTGGTGAATGATTGTTGAATTTTAAGAGCGTTTTTGGTGAATGATTACGGAAAGATTACGACTATTATTGGTAAACCCGTTTCACCAACGCTTTTGTAATTGAGTGAATGTCTAACGATGATTTATTTGATTGAACCAGCTTAGAAGTTATTTTTATTAATTATAAAATGATTTTGTCAGCTCTTTGGTGTGGTTTGTTTTAAGCCTCTTAATTGTTCTGCGTGTGTTTAAAAATATACATTTTAAATGCTCTTAGCCCCCTCTTAGCCCTTAGTGTTGTTTTCTCCAATCCCCTCTTTGGTGAGTGAATGAAAGAATGATCAAATGAAGCCAAGAAATACCAAGCATAAGCTATGCCTAAGAAATAAATATAATTTAGATTTTATCTAGACTTAATTTAGTTGTTAATTAATTAGTTTTAGTGACCAAAACCCCGCCCCTACGGTCCGGAGGAGATGGCAGATCCAACGAATCCGAATGCTCTTCTCGCTCTCAATAGTTTAAGTTTGTTGTTGTTTTTTTTTTCACTTTTTTTTCTTGTTTTTTTAGTTTTTAAGCTGTAGTACATAACCTCGACAGAGGAGGAGCAGCAGGAGAAGGGCACTCGGTCTTCGGCGGATCTCTCTCCGCCGGAACTCTCGTTCTTAGAAACCTGGAACCTAAACCTAGGACTAAGCGCTTACCCCAAAACCCCCTTATACCCCCCCCTGACTGTTTTTACCCACTTTATTTTTTTTTTTTCCCTTATGATTTCTTATTGATTGATTGATGACGATGATTGTGCTTGAAATGCCACCAAAATGTGATTACTAAGAGGCTTCTCTTCCATATCCATTGTTGTTCCTTCTTGTAGATGTGAGCAGTTTCATGGACACCACAGCAGCGCCCAATGGTGGCTCAAGTGGCTCCAATGGCTGGAGTGGCTCAGGCGGAGCCACCAACAATCCTCAAGCACCAGCTCCGGGCTCCACTTCGGTGGCCGATGGCAATGTGGAGGCCAAGCATGAGATCGATTCGGGTATGATGCCGCCACCGATAACCACACAGATACCAATGGGCGTACGTCGCTCCTCGCTGCCCAGTGCCACGCCCATGATCACCGATCAGCAACAGCAGCAGTTGGTTCATTTAAGTGCAGCCGAGGCTTTGAAGACGGAACTCCTGGACGACAGCAGTTCGCATAGTCCCCTGACAGGGGAATCCACGCCGGATAGTCCCAATGCCGCCATGCAGTATCATCATCGTTTTGTGGCACGAAAGCCCAGCCTGGATACCATAATGTATGATCAATCCAATAGCTTGCCAGGATTTCCAGCTGTGGTGGCTCCAGCCACAGCAGCTGCTGTGGCAGCAGCCGTTGATATTGATCCTGCTGCAGTGGCTGTGGCCGTGGAGTTGGCCGTTAAAAATGAGATTGTTAAACATGTGGTGCAGCAGCATCAGCAGTTGCAGGAACAGATGCAGGAACAGCAGCAGCAGTTGCAAGAGCAGCAGCAGCAGCAGCAGCAACAACAGCAGCAGCAGCAGCAACCCCAGCAGGTGCAACAGCAGCAGCAACAAGTCCAACAGCAAGTGCACAAATTCATAGATGAACTCACCAAATCCACTTCAGTGGTGACAAGCAATGGAACCAGTGAACCTGCCCTGTTCACCACCTCAGCGGTGATTGATCATGCCTTGACCGATATATTGCAGGCCAAGGTGGGCATTGCCACAGCACCACAACCCCCAACGCACAGCGTTGTCCTAGAACGCAGCCTATCCTCGCTGAGCTCCACCAACTCCAGCAGCAGCTCCCTGAGCGGCAACGAGAGTTCACCCAATAGCTCACCCTTAACCCAAGATATTATACTCAATTCAGAGCCGGCAGCTGCTTTGGCCGGAGCAGCTGGCCTCCAATCTTCTCCAGTAGATGTGACCGGCGGCGGCGGCGGTGGCGGTAGCCTATCCACGGATATCATTATGAATCCCGCTGTTTCACCCTCAACCATTTTGTGCTCGGCCAATGGAGCTGCCACCGCTGTAGTGCCCAATATCCTGGCACCGCATCAAGTGACCATGGCCAATTCCATACTAAATGATATTGCCATGCAGCCGGAGCCAACGCAACAGGATGCTGCAGTGGCTGCCTTGGCCCTAAGCAACATTATGATGAGTCCACCAACAGCAGCAGCTGTGGCTGTTGACGCTTTGCCACCGCCGGCTGTTATGCAACCGGAAGTGGCAGCCACTGCCACCTCGACGGCTGTCAGCAATATGATTATCAAGGCGGCAGCGGATTTTATAACCACACAGGAGCAGAAGCAAGAGCAGCAGCATCATCATCATTATCATCGCCATCACTCTCAGCACTCGCAGCATTCCCCCGCTGTCACGGTGAGTTCCAATCCCGCCGAAGTGAATCTGTTGCTGTCCAATCATACGGCAACACCGGCGGAAACGGCGGCCGCTGCTGCCGCAGCCGTTGCCGTAGAGGCGGCCAACTTTCAATCGTTAAATCATAGCCATCATGGCCAGCATCCCATACATCATCATGGTCATGGCCATGGCCATCACCATGTAACCGGACACCATCATGGCCATCATTTGCCGGTGGTGGTGCCGCCGACACCACAAGAATCTCTGATCGTTGCTCTGGCCAGCGAGAATGCGTTGCAAAAGTCGGTGGCCACCGCTGCCGTGACCACCAATGGTGCAGTGATGACCCAACAGGCATCGGCGCCCAGCACAGCCGGTAGCATCATTCTGCCGGCGGCCGTCGGAGCGGTGGCTGCAGCGGCGGCGGTGGCGGTGCAACCGCAGCCGCCAATACCGCAGGAGCTGACCACGATGTCGGATCAGGATCTGATCAGCTACATCAATCCGAGCACCTTTGATCAGAGTGAGTTTTTTGTTGTGTTAAGATAAATTAAAATATGGGAGTCGGGGGAAATATAAAGAATAAGATGCGTAACGTGGAGACATTTGAATTAGAGCCTTTGAAAAAATCGATTAAATCGATTACACTTCGATTCTTTCTATTTTGTTCGATGCATCGATTCGATGTGAGACAATCAATATACCTAAAACTGTAAAAAAGCTATCTTTAACGTTTTTCTATTATAAAAATACATTAGTTTTTTGCTTTTATCGTTTTTTTAAATTTTTTGTATTATTTATTTTTAATTTTGATTTTTTATTTTATTTAATTATTTTTTTTTCTGTATTTAATTCTTTTTAAATTGATTTTTTTTTATTTAATTATTATTTTTTTAATTTATTTTTTTTTTATTTAATTAATTTTTTTATTTATTATTATTATTTATTTATTTATTTATTTACAATTATTATTTATTTATTTATTTATTTATTATTATTATTTATTTTCTGCATTTAATTTTTTTTCTTTTATCGATTTCTGTTAAATGTTTTTATTTTTTTTTTATTTATTATTATTTTTTTTTCATTTATTATTATTTATTTTGTTTCTGTATTTAATTCATAAAAATTTTATTTTTTATTTCATTAAGAAATGTAAAAAATAAAAAATGTAATAAAATAAATATAAAATACGGTATCAACAACATATATACACGTAAAGAAAATTAAATTCAAATACAAAAATAAATTTAACAGCGTTACGCATCTTACTCATAATATTCTTCTTCCATTGTTCAATTAAGTTTCTCATAAAATGAAATCTAACTAAACTAACTTAATTTTTATATTTTCCTCCTTTCGTTTTCAGTTTAAACGGATCAACAAATTAAACTATGTGGACTTGTTTTTTTTTCTTAACAATTACAATAAATGTTACTCCTACACACAGGCTTAGAGTTAAGTATAAACTATATATTTAGCTATAGAAACACACTTTTAGATGGATTACCTAACGGTTTCAATGTGGACCAACTCTTTGACCAACTTAAAAATTGAGTAAAATTGGAAAACAAAAATGAATAGAAAGAAAATTCGATGAAGTTACAGAAATCCACAAAAAACAGACGATTTAGTAAGTAAATATAATATATATATCTTATTATTATTATTGTTTTTTTTCCTATTTAATAATGATTTTGAACGAAATAATCAAAAACTTATCTCAAAAGGTTAAAGAAAAACAAAAGATAACGACTGCCATATACATTACCTTTGAAACAATACCCGAAAAAAAATATTTAAAAAAAAATAAAACAAAATAAGATTGAAAGCGGAAAAAGCAGATTAAGATGCAAACTGAAAATTAGTTAAAAATAAAAATGAGTTTGGAGAACCTTTTTTTTATTTTTCATAATAAAGTCTGATTTGTAAATTTCCTTTTTTTTTGTGTTTTTGAGAATTTAAGTTATGTATATTTTATAAATTAATGCCTTGACACACACACAAATGTTTGGCACTAAAATTAGGATAATTGTTTTTTTTTTTGGGAAAACTAAACTAAAAAAAACAATTAATAATTTATAAAAAACAAAAAAATATATATATATACATTAGCTATGTGTAGCCTACGAATATAATGAATATGCGAGAAATTCCAAAAGACTTTTGTTGTTTTAAAGAAAAATATGCAATTATTATTTTTTGTTTTATGGTTTAGACATAGTTTTCTTTTTTTTTTTTTTTTGTTTTTTAAATTATAAATGAAAGGAAAAGGAAGAAGAACACAAACACACAAATAAAGAGTAACTAAATGTTATTACTACAACTATTACTATTAAAATAACTATTATTTTACTATAATTATAACTATTACGTAAATATATATTGCTATTAATGTTGATGATAGTTGTTAAGTAGTTGTTAACTATCCTAGATTACAAAAAACTGATAAACTGAAAAAACTGAAACTGAAGCAGAACAAACCGATTTAATTGTAGCAGTTAGTAACTATATTAATAATTATCATAAAAAAGAAATAATAATTATTGAAGAAATCTGCATTTGTTGTAATAATAATAATAATATATAGCCACTATTTACCGACTATTTATAAACATTTTTACAATTACAAAACACACCTATTCCAACCACGAATTTCGCCCACTCCCAAGAATAGAAAAAAACTAAAACTAAAACTGATAAAAACACGAGAACCAACAAACAAAGAAAGCAACAGGCTGCTACAATTATATATAACTAATATATACACTATATACATAATGTATCTGTATGTTCTTTTTTTTTAATGATCTTTTTTTTAATAACGTAATGCTTGATAAACAATTTGATTGACATACGTAAAGTCTAGATAGATATTCGTGCGAGTCGTCGATAAAATGTGTTAAACAATCTCAGAGATTGCATATTCCTCATTAAATTTTAAATGTTACAAGTTACCGAGTTACCGAGTTACCGAGTTACGAGAGTAACGAGTAACGTGAACGAGTTACAGAGTTACGAGCGAGTCATCGAACGAAAGCGAGATAGCGATAGTTGTAAGGTGCAAGTGAGACGCAGAGCGAGAGAGATGCGATGAGCCAGCGCTTAAGAATATAGTGTTTAGTGTTAAATGTTATACACTTATACATATTTAATTTATGCTATATATACATACATATATATATATATACACACCCATATACATATATCTATAACTTTACAATGAATAAAATGAATGTATTTTTGATGTTCTTATTGCCCAAAGTGCAGAAAAGCTGATGAAAACCGAGTAAACATCGAAAGGAGTGGCACCTGTAACTGTAAAATGTAGCTAAACACGTATCAATTGACATTGTGAAACATTTTGATCATCTACTTTACACTGAAAACAATTAGTTGTGGCTTTGTGTAGAGAATGCCCCCCCATACCCCCCACGTCGTCTACAGAAACAAATATGAATTCTGCTCGTGTTATCTCTTTTTATGTGAATAAAAAATGGAAAAATCTTTGAAAAAGAACCAAAACTTTTGAGTTATTAATGGAAAAGTGTGGCCTGATTTGGCAGAAAAAGCTAATAGTCCTATCTATTTTCTTAGAGTCCTTTAGATAAATTTAAAGGTACAGTTAGTTATCGATTTTTGCTAAATTTGTAAATATCGATTTTTTTTACAACTTTAAATGTTTTTTTTTTTTTTTGCATTAAGAAAAAGGCAAAAAAAAAACCTATACATTTTCATTGAAGTTTTTTATAAAAATCGATTATTTTCCGATATTTTTAAAACATCGATTATTTTCCGATATTATCGATGCCTCGATTTCTGCAGTTTGTAAATATAAATTTCTACTTTAAATGTTAAAAAATTAACCTATATATTGTCTTTTATTTTATTTTATATTTATTTTGCAAAATTATTAAATATCGATTTTTTTGCAACTTTTAATGTTTTTTTTAGCATTAGGGATAAACAAAAAAAAAAAATAAATAAATAAAATTCACCGACGTTTTTTTTTAAGTCGATTATTTCCGATATTTTTATTAGATCGATTATTTTCCGATATTATCGATATTTCGATTTCTGCAACATTTTTTAACATTAATTTCCACTTTAAATGTTAAAAAAAACCTCTATATTGTTTTTTTTATTTTATTTTATATTTATTTTGTATAATTTGTAAAAATTTATGTTATTTGTCTACTTAAAATGTTTTTTGTAACATTAATAAATCTCAACAAAAGGCCTATAGTGGGTGATGGTGGTGGTGATGCTGTTGCCCAGGGAACTGGTAAACGCTGGCCGCGGGTACCGACACCATATAATTGTAATCTCTTATGGCAAATGCTGCTCCCGGTTCCGGGTAGGACTCTGGTCTGGGCTGTGACTCAAAGCCTGAAGACTGAGATGTGGTGCGTGAGAGTTGCTGCGACAGTGGCTGCTGCTGCTGCTGGTGCTGCTGCTTATCATAGGTGCTTTGATTGGCCGCCAGCCAGGCATTGACATCGCCACTTCTGCCGTTCATCAAGCCAGGTGAGAAACGGGAAGGCATCAGCAGGCTTTGGGTGGACCGAGCGAATTCCCTTTGTCCATTGCTGGCCAGAGGTGCTCCTCCAGCTCCCCGATTCCAGTGACCCATCATAAATTGCTGATGATGCTGATGCTGTTGGTGTTTCTGCTGAAACACTGTAAAGGGTGACACTGTGGAGGCTCCTCCTGCATTGCCACGCCAAGACTGCTGCTGCTGCTGTTGCTGCTGCTGATGAGTGGAAAGATGCAAAGAATCCAGCGAAAGCACCGAAGCAGCTGGCGGCACTACGACTTGGCTTCTCTGTGAGATTGTGGGAGCTCCTGCTGATTGATAGACTGTGGGGGAACGCAGGCTGTGGGTTAAACTGCTGCAATCACTCAACTGCTGGCTAAGCATGCTTAAGTTCTCCTCATCGCTGAGGCACTCGTCGGCACACAGTCGATGGAAGCTGTCGTCGGCAGACTCGTCATGGTTTGGCGATAGTCTCAAGAGATTAGAGCGATTGGTAACCAGCAGGCCAAGGGTTATAACGCTGCCTAAAAGCTAAAAATGAATATTTAAATATAACAAAAATTAAAATCAAAAGATTAACTAAAAACTCACCAAAAGACCAATCCCATCGATGTGCGGTTCCAGCATGGAGATGCCCTTGGCATAGGCACTCCACAAAAGCAGAATGACAGTGAAACGCGTAAACTTCAGACCATCATTGATCTTGTGCAGAAAGCCAAGTCCCAGCATGGCATAAGGATAAATGCTTATAAAACAGGAGGCAAAGGTGGCCTGCTGCACTTGCTGTTGACTCAAACCCACTGAAAACAGCAAAAGCTTGCCAAAGGTGCTGAGATAAAGCCTTAACTTGGCTGTAACATCCCGCTCTTCCGCCAGGTTACCCATCAAACTGGAAACCAGGACACGCACCAGGGTCAGGACATGGGAGTAGGCATAAAACAAAGCCGAACCAAAGGTTTGTCCTAGAAACTTGGTGAATTGTTCACTGGTGGCCAGCGGCATACGGCAAATCAGACACAAAATGTTGATGAAGGTCAAGATGAGCATTACCAAACGATAGCGCTGCAATTTGTGTTGCCTCTGGGCGCTGGCCAGACGATGTATATAAGGCTGCTTCAGCAGAGCAGCTCCTTTGATCACAAAATTAAGAAATTTAGAGCCCAGAACCATTTTTTTCTTCTCATGAAGAACGCCATTGACATGGCGTTCGCAGGTGCGGCACAGGCGAAACTGTTGCTCCAGTTGGTCCCTGAAATTAATAATTTATTAATTAATTAATGAATTCCTCTTGGAGCTATCACATCTCTCACCTAAAGACCTTCAATTCCCGCTCAAAGTTTCTTTCGTTTTTGGGCTCAAATTGTGACAGCTTCTCCACCTTCAGGCGCTGTGCCTCATTGCAACTATCGCACAGGCCATTGCTGCTCAAGGCGGTGGCAGTGGTACCCAGGACATCGGCATAGTAGGAGTTGGCACAAATGGTGGTGGGGCTACCCTGGGAGCTGCCCTTACCCGATGTTTGGCTGCAGTCCCGCTGCGTGGTCATGTCCCTATTGTAGTCACCATCCTTGGTGAAGCCATTGTATTGATCGCAGTGCGGACAGGTCCAGCTATTCCGCTCGGCATAGGGAACGCTGGCGTTGCCGCTGCAGAACCAGCAATTGACGCGGGCATTGTAGCGGGATCTGGCGGGGATTTGACAGAAGTTGAAGATCAGCGAGTGAGTTTTGGTTATTCCTTACCTTATGCTTGTGTACAGCTTGTTTAAGGCCAGGCCCAGGACAAAGATTATGGCCAAAATGGGCAGGCATGTGGCCGCCAGCGGCAACAGTTGATCCATGGTTATAATGGTTTCTTTTTACGGAGATGCTGCTGCTGTGGCTGGTTAAACTGCTTCGTAATGCCGGCTTTATTTTATTAAATGTCACAAAGGTGACGCCGGTAGCGCGGACTGCAATTTTTTCTTATTTTTTTGCGCGCGCCGACAAACATAACCAAACATTGCCACACGATATATATATATCGCTGGCATGGGATAGTTGGAGAGCTATCGATAACAGTAGACAAAAGAAAAAAACAAATAAAAATAAATTAATTAATATTAAAATATTAAATATAATAATTAAAGAATTTCTAAGCAAGTTTTCTAATTTTAAAACAACAGTTTTAATATTTTTTTTTATATTTGAATGTGGCTTGTGCGGTGAGTTTGCTTGTGGTTTGTGTCACCGCTAAGGCTTAACGATAGCTCATCTCAATCGATAACCCTGCCTATCAAGCAATCGCAAACCATATGTTTTTCTTTTAACGCGGCGTTCGCTGCACGTGTTCCCATTTTTAATTTAAAACTAAAAAAACTAAGCTAAAAACTAAACATGCAGCACGACGATGTGAGTTTGTCTTTGTCTCATGTTAAAACCATTTAACAAATATCTATTTCCAGGTGGTTTGGAGCATCATCAACAAATCGTTTTGCTCGCACAAAGTCAAGTGAGTTTTTTAGTTGTTAATTTTTATAAATACAGTAACAACAATTGAAAAACTTGCTAATTCTAAAGACTAGCTTTGATCTTTTCAAACTTTAACTTAAATGTAAATCAGATTCTTTCATGAATTTAAATTAAAATTGAAACTCTTTTCAGAACGGACACTCGCACCTTCTGCCGCCATGAGTACAACCTGACGGGTCTCTGCACCAGACGCACCTGCCCCCTGGCCAATTCGCAGTATGCCACCGTACGCGAGGACAAGGGCATCATCTATTTATTTATCAAAACGGCCGAAAGATCGCATATGCCCAGCAAAATGTGGGAAAGGATCAAGCTGTCGCGGAACTTTGAGAAGGCCATTGAACAGATTAACGAGAATCTCGTCTTCTGGCCCAAATATATGATTGCCAAGAACAAGCAGCGTTTCCTGAAGATCACTCAGTATCTGATGCGAATGAGAAAACTGAAGTTGCGACGCCAGAAGTTGATTGTTCCGCTGTCCACCAAGATTGAGCGACGTGAGGCGAGGCGCGAGGAGAAGGCTCTGGTGGCAGCCAAGATCGATAATCATATTGAGAAGGCGCTGATGGAGCGTCTGAAGCATGGCACATACCGTGACATTTACAATTTCTCACAGACGGCCTTTAATAAGGCTCTGGAGGCGGAGCGTGTGGATGAGGAGGAGGACGAGGAGGAGGATGAGGAGGAGCAGGAGTTGGAGCACGAAATGGAGGTGGAGGATGGGGAAGAACCAAGCAGGGATCTTTTGCGTGAGGAGTTTGTGGAAGCCGACACCGACGATGATGATGATGATGAGGAGGATGACTACGAAAGTGACTCTGGCCGGCGCGAGGAGGTGGAAATGGGCAGTGATTTCGGCGAGTCTGATGAAGACGATGATGCGGATACTGATGATATTGAGGTAAGATATCACTTGGATTACGTAGAATTTTTCGTAACAGATTTTTGGCAATTTCTTAGGGTTTATTTTTTCGAATAATATATTTTTAAATAATTTTTTAAAGAGTTTTTTAGGTTTAGAAAATCGTTGAAATATTTTTATTTTGAATATAAGAGGGTTTGAGGGGCTTTTTTTTTCGAAATTATATTTTTTAGAGAGATAAAGATTAATTAATAACTTAATTTTGGTACAGCAAATATTTTAACTATTTTTATTTTGAATTTGAAAGTAGGATAGGGTTTTTTTTTATAATATATATTTTTAAATATTTTGTGGTATTTTTTAAAATTCAATTTAGTACAGAAAACCTTTTAAAAAATGTTATTTTAAATATAAAACAAGGGTTTCTTTTTGAAATAAATTTATTAAATATTTTTTAAAGAGAAAAATTCATGGTAATATTTTTTAAAAATCCAATTTAGTACAAAAAACCTCTAAATTATTATTTTTTTGTTTTTAAAACAATCATTGTACTTTTATTTAAAGATCCTGCTTGCGAATAACTTTTTAAAAAATTACCATAATTAGTAATAAATAGTAAACAAGTTCCGCACCGCCTGAGAAGCTGTGCGAGCTTTCGAGCTAGCTCTCCGTTTGCTTTTCCATTCAGTTGCTGTTTTTCCCATTCAGTGTGCGCGTAAAGTTTTTAGCTCCAGTTTAAAATTTACCAAAAAATCTTAAAAATTAAAAAAAAAAAAAAATCACAAAACTAAAACCCGAAATAAATTAATTACCACAAAACAGGACATCCAAGTGCCCGGCAAGAAATCAAAATCGAAATCGATCAGCAAAAAGGACACCAAATCCCCCAAGAAACGCCGCTCGAAGCCGAAATTGGAGGTGGAGTACGAGTATGAAGTGGAGGCTGAGGCTGAGGCCCAGCGGCTGCGTCGCTATTAGCCAGGTCCACCCACAAATCTTCCTCCCCCTCCTTAGCTGTTAAAGTCCTTAATTTTTAGCTAATTACGTTTGTAATTCCGTTTAAGAATAGAATTTTACGAAATTGATAAAAAAATAAGAAGCCCCAGAGATTGTGTTTGTTGGTTGAAGCGAGAAATAGCTTTGTGGCTGCCTTCTCCCTCTTTTTGCATTCTGACCAAAAAAGGCGGCTGCCACTGGGGAGCTTGACATTGAAAATGCGGCGGCATTGCAACAACAAAACCAGTTTGATATAATATTGTGCAAAAACAAAAAGAACAGAAAAAACTATATAAACAATTTTTTGCTAAGAGCTACAGTTTTGTGCTACAGAAAATCTGTGGAGTTGCAGGGAATATACATTCTATAAGCACTTGGTTTTTTTTTTTTTTTTGTAATTAAAATCCTTAAATAATAAATAATTATATTAAAACATTTAAATATAAATATTTTAATATAATTATTTAAATATAAATATATATAAATATTTTAATATAATTATTTAAATTTAAATATATATAAATATTTTAATATAATTATTTAAATATAAATATTTTAATAGGTCAATTTAAATTGTTTTTTTTTTTTACATAGAAATATAGAAAATTGAATTATTTTCCAGCTAAAAGACATTCAAGATTCATAAAACTTTTTTTTATAAATAATATCTAATATCAATATTAATCTAAATCATTAATTTTAATTAATTACAATAGTTTTAACTTTTTTTATTAAAACATAGAAACATAGAAAACTAATTTTTTCTAGTTAGAAATTTAAAGGATTTAAAAAAAAGAAAAATTGTATAATGTTTATAAATATTATCTAATAACAAAGTAAAATTAAATTAATTAATTACCATAATTTTATTTAAAAACCATAGCAATTTCCGTATTTTTTTTCTCTATAATTATGGGTTTATAAAAAAACCTTATATTAATCGATTTAAAATCGGGGTTTTCAAACAAAAATATCGAAAACTTTAAATATTTTCCAGCTAGAAAGAATTAAATTAAATAAATAGTAACGATAATAATACATTATTTAATATCAAAATAAATTCAAATAAATTAATTTTAATTAATTACAATAATTGCATTTGAAAACCATAGCAATTTCCTATATATATATAGTTTTTTCTATGCATTTTTGTTTATAAATATTATCCTATATCAAAGCAAATTTAAATAATTAACAAAAATAATTCCATATAAAAAAACCACAGCAATTTCCCTCACGCCTTCATATATATATATTTTATTTTCTATTTAATAATGGGTATTTCCTAGCTCTATATCTATTATGTACACCTGCGGAATCGCAAATTTCTGCTGACGGGTTACTCTACACTCATATTAAATGAAATGCTGCCGCGGCGGGGCTAATTAAATATCGCATGCCAAGTTCAATGCAGCAGCGCGCAGCCAACCGATTCGAAAAACCCGGCCCCAGAGATCGTATCGAATCTCCCCCATATATGCGGCTAGGGGGGGATATTGGATAACAGATGCCGCGGTGACAAGGTCATTCCCAAGCAACTATATCTGCGGGCAAAGGTTCTTCTCTCGGGCCTTTAATATTTGGCCATAAAAAACGCCGGCCGGAACTCTCAGTGGTTAAACGGGGTTTATATTCTTAACCCCAGATGGGGGGAGGGGGTCTGTATTTCGTTTCGTTTGATCGAGTGAGTGGAAGATTTCAGTTGCCGTAAACTATTATAATTGTTGACTTATGCACAAATGCCGAGAGCATTTTAAGAGCTAAATAAACACTAAAACTCAAGGCATGAGGCTGTAAATTGGCTCAAAGAGCTTGAAACAGTAAAGCCGGGTAAAGATTTTACATATATCGAGAGAGAGAATGAAATAATATATCGATAAAGGTAATGTACTTTATAATATATCGAAAAATATCGATTTTCACATGTAAAATGTAAATATTATCGAAAAATATCAATAATAAATGTGTCTTTTTTTTTAAATAATTAATAATAAAGTTAAATATTATTTAAAAAATATTTAAAATTCATTATAAACTTTGATTTATCGAAACATTTTATATACAAATTCAAAATCAAATCTCAATCTCCTGAATTTCCTCATCTGTTTCGATAGTTTAACATCAAAATTATTTAATTTTTGGCCCACTAAAAAAGTAACAAAACTGTTTAGGTATACCTAAATGTTACAGAACATTCTTGTTTTTATTATCCAAGACTACAAACAAAAATTAGCATAGGAAGCAGATGGGACAATATTTGCAGTGTTTTCAACCCAAATTGGTTTTTTGGAGCCAGAGTATTATTAACCAGAAGTACAATAACGAACACAACTATTCATTTAAAACACATGGTCGTCAATTGAGTGTATATATACATTATATTAGTACTTGTAAAGTAGGGTTTTCCATTTCTAAGTTAAACAGTTGCATCTTCTCTTTGTGTTTTGTTGGTGTCGTCAGCAGCAGGACTCTGGGGGATGTTGTGTCTTCCATTTGCTCCAAGGCTTCCTCATACGGCTGGTGTGTTCATCGTCTTCCGTTAAGTTAAATTGTGTCTCTTAGTTTAACTGCTGGTTGATTACGTTATTATTATTATTATTATTTTGGTATCCTAGGCATTGGGGCTAAAGGCCGCCTGACGCAGCAGCACATAGATCTTCTCCTTGATCCAGTCTTTGTTATATGGGGCATAGGTGTTGGTGCTCTTCTGATACACCATGCAGCTAATGTCCATCAGTGTGTCAATGAAATCAAACAATTGACTGATATCGTAGGTGATTGTTGGTGTATTTGGATTGCGACGCTTCAGATGTTCCTCGTAGATCTTGCAGACGCCCTCCATGCACTCGTTTACGCTCTCGTAATCGCAGTAGGTGCGCGTTTCCGGACGAACGCCCGGCTGCACCAATAGGATTGTGTGGGACATGATGTTCTCTGGAGCGAAATAATGTTTAATTGTTATTATTAATAATTTTACAAGACTGATTTTACTGGAGATCATTATGGGATATATATTCTGATATATATTTTATTGTTGTTTTTCCTATAAACTATTTTTACTCAAAAATTCCCAATTCTGCCATAAAATAAACTTTGAAATATCATAGCTAACCTCTTTTTTTCTTACTCTGCCGTTTGCTTATTTGAAGTCCGAGACTGCTGATGTGGGTTTTATGCGCCTGTCTTTCTATCAAAGTTTATTTTTTCTCGATTTTGACAATTCTGCAAAAAAAAGAGGAGAATTTTCATGAATCAACGAAAATGAAAAAGACGAAAAATATGATTCTGTGTGCATCCTTCCCAACCATCTCCCTTTCTCCCTCTCTCACGAGCCACCACTACCAACGCAATATTTTGTTTTTTATTTGCCCAACTTGCGGTAGTTCAACTAAGGGGCAGCCCTTAACGAAAACACATTTACCTAGTTAAAGGCACTTGAAAAACAATTGCAACTTTAAGATATTTGTGCATTTTCCTATTTTGTGGCTTGTTTTTGCCGCTTAATTAACAAAAACATTTGTTCACACGCACAGAAGCCGAAGGCCGCATGCCTGTATGTGTGTGTGTGTGTGTGCACCAAACAGCGCCTAACTGTTTTTCACATCGAATTTCTGCAATGTTTACAATAAACGAATAGTTTTGGCATAGAGCTACACTTACCCGTTTGGATAATGCACCAGTTAGTAAGTTTTTTTTCTGTTAAGACTTTAATTTGAGTAATTTAAGGCCCGGTCTTAGCGTTTTATTTGTGAAAGATACCCAGTGTGACCAGATGGCATTCCACCAAAAACGGTGAAGCCCCTGATCGGCGGTTGCTTTTATCGATAGTTTAGTATCCTACCCAAAAAAAAAATACTGCATGTGGATTACAGATAAATAGAAAGAAAAGGTGCAGGAATTTACGTTTTTTTACATTAAAATGTAAAAAAAAAAAGGAAAAACATTAATAAAATATTGTAAAAAAAGGTGATGAAATTGGGTAAAGTCCAACATGACCAATGAAAAGCCAAAGCCAGGGGTGTGGAACTTTGCTAGACAAACTGGGTTATCGAAGCTGATCGGTTGTATCGGTTCACTTCGTGATCTCTAAAGCTCGTTTCGTGAGTGTCGTGCGAAGAAACACAGGCACGCGCCCACCACTAAGAGCGCGGCGTCGGCAGAACAAAAACAAAAAAGTCTGGGATCGCGTTTTTTTTTGTTTGGGCAGCGATTGAAAGCGCAGACGCAGCCTAATTTGTTGTTAATTTCAATTGTGCAAGTCGCGTTCGCGTTTTAGTTGTTTTTTTTTTCGTGTTTTTCTGTGCGTGTTTCCCAATTGAAAAAGACTCCAACGAGTAAAGTGAAAATTGACCCAAAGATTCCCGAATAACAGTAACGTTGAGAAAGGAAATGAGCAAAAATTGGCAAAGAATGCAACAAAATGTAAAGGCACAACAAGAACAGGCGAACAAAGTGTGATAAAGACAAATCAAAGTAAAGTTTAAGTGAAAAGTAGTAAAGAAAATCAGAAGGGAAAACTAAAACACAAAATCCAGGCCCAACGCGTGTCGAAAGTTTTCGTCTTCTTCTTGTCCGTTCTTCTTTCACACTCACACGCAAGTGCGCGCACGTGTCTTCATTCGTGTCAATGTATGCGTGTGTGTGGTGCATTTCATTTAATTTGCTTGTCGTATCTTGGCATCTTATTGTTATTCGTATTTTTAAAATCGATTATTTCTCCATCGCAAATCTCCTCAAATGTTCTCAGCTACCAATGGCAAAATCAAGGTGAAAAATGTAATTAATTAAAAAATATTAATATAAAATATTTAAATAAAACAAAAATTTTAGTAAATACAAAAACCTTAGGTTTTAAAGAGTTACAAAAAAAAAAAAAACAAAACAATAAATAGAATGACTAAAATATGTTTAATATTGTAACCATTTTTGCTAAAATAAAATTTAAAATATAAATAATAAATTAAATAAATAAATTATTCTGTCTTCTAAAATATTAAAAATTGAAAAAGATACTGCTTTTAATTAATTTTAATTTTATTTCAATTTAAATTAAAACAAAAGGCATTTTTATTAAACTTTCTTATCTGTGATATAATGGTATCTTTGAAATGTAAAAAAGATAAAGCTAAAAATATGAAAATGATAAAAATTCCATCATTTGGGTGTATTTACCAGCAGCGCTGATAATTAGCATGACCTGGGGTATGCTTAAATATTATGTGATAATTAGCGAGTTCCTCTCACTGTTTGTTGTGTGCAAACATTTTTGATTCATCATTTTAACCTAAATATAGGATTTTATTGTTACTGTTTTTCCTCCGAAAAAATATATTTGCTTTTAAAAAGGTTAAAACGGACTAAATTAATATAATCATTACATTAATGTATAAAAAGAATTTGTATGATATATAAAAAGTAAAATATAAATATGATATTTTTAAAATTTAATTTGAATAATTTTAATATTATTTTAACTTACATTAACTATTTTAGTTCTTACATCTAAGGATACAAAAAAAAAGATAAAGTTTAGCCTTAAAAAACCATTTTATTTAAGAAAAATGTGCATTATAGTTGGTATATATTTAATATATATTTTCTATATATTTCCTATATATTTCCTATATATTTCCTATATCTTTACAGTTACCTTCTGAGGACTCAGTGCTGGTGACCTCACCGCTTCGCTGCCTATTTAACGGTCCTTTTCGGGATCTGCACTTTAACGTGAGCGATCATCGCATTATTCCCGTCCACGATGTCGTCTTTCTGGACGATTTTGAACGCAATGTAAAGCCTTTGATTTACCGCCCGGTGACGTCAGAGGTTGCTGCCACCGCAGACACCTACGCAGCGGAGCTGTCAAAGCCAGCAGAGGAGCAGCAGCAACATCAGCAGCAACAGCATCGACGGCACAGTTTCAGGTGAGTCAGTGAAGCGAAAAAAAGAGAAAGGTAGTAAGGTAGAGACGGAGATGGAAAGAGCGATGGGGGAGAGAGAGAGAAGAAGAGAGGGAGAGGGAGTGTCATCGATGTGATCGTGGCCTTGAACTTGCTTTTGCCTGCTTTCGCTTGCTAATTGAGAGCGAAAGAGAAGGATGAAAAGGTTGGAAACTTATTGAAATTAAATTGGAGCTTAATTTGTTGTTGATTCGATAAAAAAAAATATGTATGTACAAATGTAGCTTTGTATATATGCTTATTTTAAATAAAAGTTTATTGAGGCAATTTTTCATCAGGTTTTTTAATAAGATTCTCGAGATCTTGATAAATTGATATTCTGTTTTATATATCTGACCTATATAATTGAAAATATTTGTATTTAAACCTCTTACCTTCAAGCAGTTGAAGTTCAAATGCTATTTTGTTTTGTAATATTTCAAGTGTCTTTAGCACACCTTGGCATCTGTAATAATTTGTCTTGTTTAACGCTGGTTAAAAAAAAAAATTAGTAGTGTTTGCTTTTGGGCCCTGATAAGTGCGGAACATTTCCAACTGATAAGAACGCGGGCGCCCCGCAAGTGATGATAATTATCTTCATTTACTATCATCATCAAATTGTTGCAAAAATGCGTATATTTGCACATATATTTTTTTATAATTTTTTTATAAGAAACTGAAATCTACACCATTTAAAAAAAATATTAAAATAAAAAATGCGTATATTTGTATGTACATTAATATTTATAATTTTTTTTAAGAAAATAAAATTAAAAAAAAAATTTTAAATTAATATAAATAGCTAAAAACTAAAAAAATATAAATTTTTATGAGAAAATTACTGAGAAATTTGTATAGATTTTTCAAAAATCTAGCATTACAGCTAGTTAGGTTTTTAAATTGAACACAATTATAAGTATTTAGAATTAAAGTCGCCTCTTTTATACCTAATTTCCCGCTGTTAATGAAAATATAAATTATATTAATTAATTTCTGAATGACCTCCGCCGCTGGGTTCAACGTTTTGTATTGATGTTTCCTGCCCTTTGCTCCTTGCCCTTACTGTACTCTCTGCTCTTATCATGGAATCATTATTTACCTTCTCCTTTTTATGTACTATTTTTTATTGTATTTATTGTATTTTTTTTCATTTAACGAGTATTTTGTTTGTGGGTTTGACCGTTTTCTTTGTTTTTGTGTGTTTGAGACTGCGCTTATTTGCTCCGACTCTTATTGGGGCTTAATTGTTTCGCATTTCTATTGGCGCTTAACACACGACTGCCTTAACTATGATTATTGCCATTGTTACCGCTTTATTTTCTGTGTGCGCTACCTCTTTTGGCTGCCAGCGCGGATTTGTATTTATAGTTTATTTATTCTGTATTTGGAGGGAGCCGCCTCGAGTGCCGTGCTGTTCGTTGACTTGGTCGTTTGGTTCCTTTTCTGTCCAAAAAACACACAGATTTGGCTTACTGATATCGGGCCTAGGAATATGGGCATCTTAAAAAAATATATATTTAATGTATATATAAAAAAAATATATAGAGTATTGTAAAAAGTAGTATTTTTCAATTTACATTTGTTTTTTTTTTTTTAAATTACAAATTTTATATTTTCAAAATTGGAAATTTTTTTAAATTTCTTAGATGTTAAATAAAGTTTGTTAACCCAATTAAAACTAACATAACACCGCATACCGAATTCATTTTAGACTTAGTTATGATTTTTTAAAACCTTTCTTTTTTTACTAATTTTTTTCAAACATTTTTAAATAATTAATAAGAAACTATTTCCTAATTTATTTGTATTCTAAAGTAAAGTTACAGCTTTTTTATGGGGCTATACTATTTTTTAAAATCTTTTTAATGGTATTTTTATTTTAAAACAAAGGTTTTCGACTTCCTCTCGTTCTTCCGCATACTCTTACTTTTTTATTTTTAGCTAGAGATTTTTTATTGAAGGCTGTCTCGGTTGACACCTTTTTTGGTTTTATTTCTTTTTTTTGTTGTTTCTTGGTGTCTTGCTCGTGGCGATGTTTTATTATTATTTGTTGTATTTTTTTCGTATTTCTTTTTATTGCTTCACTGGCCATCGTCGCCGGTTGTTTTCGTCACAGTTGCCGGCACAAGTTTCGCTCGCCCTTGGCATTGACATTCGTCCATTATTAGCTCGTCGCTAGCCGGCATTCGTCACTCATCGGACGGCGGCGTAATTAAAACAGAAATTGACGTTCCAATGCGTTGGTGCAACGACTTCTATATATATAATGTGCATTAAAATAATTAACTCGCCCCCTGGGAGGTCGCCTCAACCAATCGGGACTTTGGCAAAACGTTGTCAAAGGAGAAGATTAATTGCCATTAAGAGCACCGTTTTTGAGGTCATTAAATGTAGATATATATATATCAATTTGGGGTAATCAGAGTCTTAACTTATTTTTCAAACAATCTGTCTTGCAGACAGATTTATTGCAGTTTCAGATTTTAACAGTTTTTAAGCTGAGTAAGGAATTTAGGAGGGGCTTTAGATATAGTTTAATGTGCAAAGGGGAGAAGATAAAACGTTGCTACTTTATTGTTTGATAACTTTCATGTTTATCATATGATTATATTTAAATTTTGGTACAATATTCACAGAAAAGGAAGGAAGTTTTTAAATATTTTAATTTTGTATTTTCGGTTTTAAAAGAGCTTTGACTTAAAATTCAATAAAAAGGAATCTCTAAGGCACTTTATTTATTTTTTCGGTATTTTTTTAAAATATTATTTACTAAAAATGAAATGAAATTAATTAAATTTAAAAAAAATATGCCTATATTTAAAATTATCTTAGAAGTTTATAAATCTAAAACTTTTCCCAGAAATTTTTCCAAGATATATGAATTTGTTATGTATTTAAAATATTTTTTAAAAACTTAAAACCTAAACTTACAATTGAAATTCGCTGAAAATGAAGTTCAATACATGCCTAATTTCTTCTAAATAATATCCTATTATACATATGTGTAGATATTATAAATAAGATATAAAAACCTTTTAACAGCTTAAATCCCCTGTTCTTATTTTTTTTTATATCACTTTGTTTTTATATCACTGTTTTATTAAAAAAAGGCAATGATTGGAAATAAATGAAGATGCATAACATATTTTGATATTCCCTGCCTGTTTTGGGATCTTCATCATCGCCATTGATGATGGTGGCTTACAATTCCAGAGGCAGAGGCTCCGCGGCATTGAAATGGCTCATTAAATCGAGCTCGTTGCGGGCTCTGCTCATTTAAATTTTTTATGGTTTTCTGGAAGAAAGAAAAAAAAAGAAAAAAAAACAGCAGCAGCAGAATTAGCGGAAACAGTCGGGCCAATAATTGTTAATAATTTCGCTGTTGCTGGCTAATATTGTAAGTGGCTAAAAGAAAAAGCACGGACACAGACAAAGACACGCAAGCTTCGAAAATCAATAGAATAATGCTGAAACACGGAACTAATGCCGAGCTGAGCACTGCGAACAATGCAAACTATAAATAGCAAAACTAAAAATAAATATGGTTGATTAATAAATCGAATAAGTAGTAATAATAACCTATATTACTTTATTTTTAACTTTAAAGATAAAGGTTGGAACTAGTTTCTTTTAATTTCCTTTTTTTAAGATTAGTTTTATATAGATTTTTAAAATGTTTTTGTCTCGTTTTTTTATTTATTTTTATTTTACAAATATTTTAAATTGTAAAGCTTGCAAGTCTCATGAAATCCCTAATAAAAGTACCTTAATTTACAATCATAAATTAAATAATTACACTATCCCAATTCAATTATTTTAAATATTAAATTATTATTTATTATCATTATATTTAGACATATATTTTATAATCCTTAATAAAATTACCTACATTTACAATCATAAATTACATTAGACACTTTTTCTCATTTTATTTACATTTCATTACTTTAAATATTAAATAGAATTTCTCAATTAATTAAAATTCCATTCATTTAAATACTAATTATTCTCTAGTTGTATTAGAATTACATTAATTTACCAAAAGCTTATCTAATCGTTGCCAATTACGGCAACTGTTTGAAAATGCGTAATCACAGCATCAAATGACCAATCAATCTCTGTAACAGCCAGCACAGCAAATAGTTTTAATCACAATTTAAGTAATAGGAGAACTTGATTACATCAATTCAATTCAGCCTCGGCCAGGCATTTCCTGTGAACGTGGCGAATTCGGATGTCACCTTTCCCTTTCCCTTTACCTTTCTTTCCCCTCTTCCCCCCGCATTTAACAAAGGTGAGCAGCACGTGCGAAGGGCTTCCTTCCTTTCTTCCTTCCTATCTATCGACACAATGTCGCCCCCGAAAATCGCTGACCCATTTCCACATTATTTGCTTTGCTTTCGAATGAAGAAAAGTGGCTAGAACGAGCCGAGCGAACAAGAACGGACACTACGGACAAAACGGACAGTGTGTTCTTGGGAGTGACCATCGCTTTGGTTGTTTTCAATATACCCTGTAGTTTTAAAATTGAAAGGATATATATATTTTTTATTTATTTTATTTTACTTCACTTTTTCTTAGTTTTATAATTTTTTTTTAAGGTTTTTGCTTTAACAAATCTTTAAAAAAGGTATCTAAAAGTATGCAATAAACAAGTCTTGAGACTTACACTCTTTGTGTAAATTTGCTTATTTTATATAGTAAAAATGTTAAATATTTTGTATACATTTTTTTTATAATATTTCAAAAGTTTATTTTATGAAATAATAGTTTCTGGCTATTTTTATACATTTTTTTTTTAATATTTCAAAACTCTATTTATTCTTATTTTTTTTATAGGGTTTTTAGCATACTGAAGTCCTGTCTATTCACAATTTACGGTTATAGTCCGACTTTATTTCCAGATAATATTATTTCGTATGTTTCCAAATTGTAAATGAGAGTTTTCTTTCCAAATAAAAAAATACAAAAACCACTAGAGCTTGAAAA